ACACACAGGGTAGAGCCCTCTCAGCCCAGACCCAGGAAAATGCGGGTACACCTGCTGCCCTGAAGACAGCCAGGCGGGAGCAGGCACACAAGGGTGCAGGGCCGCGGGCTGTGGGCACCGGGGCAGGACAGTCCAGGATGTCCCAGCCCCGAGCAGGCACACTGGGGCTGGGGCCTCAGGGTGCTTCTTCCTGGGAGTCGGAGCACAAACTGGCGGGGTGCGCCCCCACTTCAGCGGGAGGCAGCCTGGAGGGGGCACCCTCTTGCCGGCGAGTCCATGTGACCTGGCGGCCTGGGAAGGCACCGTAGAGACCCCGAGGGGCCCACCCCCCGGGGCCAGGCGTGAAGGGCTCCTGAGCGACAGCTGCTTCTTTAAAACCCAAGAGCTGAAGAGCCCAACTTTTCTCTCAAAGCCACCAGGAGGCCCCAGTGGGCACAGCCACCCTGTGGGGCTCCCCACACCCCACGCCCTGCCTAGGGCCCCAACGTGCGGGGGCAGCTTGGGTGGGCCCCAGGCGAGCACGTTTAAAGTTGGGGACTCGCATCCCTGCTCGAAAGCTTAGAATAAGCCACAGAACAGAGCGGCGTTCCCCACGGCGGACGCAGCCCAGGCCGGGGGGAGGGGCCCCATGCGGGCGTGTTCCTGTCACTTTCTCAAAGTATATTTTTAAAAAAGCAAACCACCCAAAAGAACGGGTGTTAAGTTCTTGCAGCAGAAGAAAGAAAGAAAAACCTGCGGGAAACAGTTCCAGCCTGTCAGTCACACGCGTGGCCAAACATCGGCCGGGCACCTGGGCACGGCACGTGCAGAGGACAGTGCCCACGGCAGGCCCTCGGGAGCACAGGGCCGAGCAGAGGTCGCAGACCCTGACCTGCCACCCACATCCGGCCCTGCCTGCCCGCCACGCCCACAGCCGCAGCCGACAGAAGGCCTCTGTCCACGGCCAGGCCTCTGCCCTGCAGACAGCCCGCCAGGTAAACCGAATGCCCAGAGAAGGCGGACTCCCGCAGGCTCCCACACCGGCGTGTCCCGTGCAGCGCCTGGGGCGCACCTGTGCCGAGACCGTCTACCCGAAACCCCAGTTCAGCTCGTGTCCTGCGGAGTCGGGCGCCTTCGGAAAAGGCTGCTCTTGGGGCCCAGTAACGATGGGGGTCCCTTCCCAGACCGCCCCTGCGGGGCTCCCCCAGGCCACAGCCCACATAGGGCAAGGGGCCCGTCTTCCTGGTGCCCCTCCCCGGGCAAGGAGCACCTAGAACAGGATGCTGACCTGCCACCACCCCACCCACTGTGACCGCCAGCCCTGCAGGACCCAAGGGACAGCCCTCAGGGTTCCTGACCACACACCAGGGCTAGATGCAGCTTCTCCCACGGGGACCGACAGGGAGCGCCACTGAAGACGAGCTCCCGGGTGGGACTCCAGGACACCCTCACAGGGGCACGGGCAGACCGGGGGCCGGCCAGGCCTCCCCCGGAGGAGCCACCGCAGGGCAGAGATCCTTGTCCACACCTCGGGAAGCTGAGGCAGGGAAGCTCTGGGGGTGGCCAGGCCCCCGCCGAGTTCTCAGCCCATAGGAGACCTGAAGGCCAAGCGACATAGTTCACACGCCGAGGAGGGACCCCGAGTTGGGGTCCAGGGCCCAGAGCCTGTGTGGGGTGGGGAAGGCTCCCCTGGGGACAAGCCCCCGCAGACAGGTGGTAGAGGGCCTGCTGCAGCCCTGCCTGGGCAGGGGTGAAGGCACAGGGCTGTGGGCCTTGGGCCCCCGGCCGACCCTGCCTCTCCCCGGCCTCCACGTGTCTGTTCTGGTCACTCCTTCGGCCAACACTCAGACTGCGGTGGGAGGGTGAGGCTGTGGCTGCCTGACGGCCTTCTGAATGGTGACCTCAGGGGAGCAGCGGGTGGGCGGGGGGCCACCAGGCCTTGTCAGCAGAAGCCACTGGGCCTCGCACGGGGGGGGGGGGCTGCGCTGCAAAAAGTGACCCATGGGAGTGCACAGAGGCAAGGAGGAGCCCCGAGCTGGGCACCTGAGGGTGGGGGTGTCAGCCTTGGGGGTGGCGGTAATGGGGCCTTCCCAAAGGTGTGTGACAAAGCACCTCCCATGGTGACACTCCTGCCTCCCAGGTGGGAGATGGACAGGCCCTCTCCCTTGTAGGACTCCTGCACCCCTGCTGAGTGTGACCTGCAGGGGCCTGCTGCCAAGTGGGGGGCCGGCCCCCTTTCAGTAACCTGAGGCTGAGGGCAGGGGAAGGCCCGAGTGCTGGCAGGTGCTGGCGGACCCACTGCTCAGTTGGGGGCCTGGCTGGCTGGAGGCAGGCACCCTGGACACCCAGGGGTCAGCTGGCCAGGGAGGCGGCAGAAGTGGCCTGGGAAGGAGGCCGGTGCTGCTCCTGCTGGACACGCTCAGCCAAAGGTGGGCGAGCAAGGGTGGGCGCTGGCGGAAAGTGGGCACGGGCCCCCATCTCCCTGGGGAAGAGCTGCCGGAGGATGGGGTTGGAATCCCATGGAAAAGCAGGGCCACAGAGTCCCAGAGCCCCCACCCCACCAAGAGGGACAAGGCCCCAGGCTGGGGGCTTCCCGGGGCCCCAGTAGGAGAAAGCCGCCAGGGCCTGGGCCAGGCCAGCACAAGTCCCATCAGGGCCTAAGAGGGGCAGGGGGCCGCTGGCCTGTCTCCCACCCTGGCAAAGCACCTCGCTGCTGCTCTGGGGTGCTGGAGGCAGGGAAAAGTTTGGGGGTGCCTTGGAAGCGCGCTGCTGAGGACCCCCAAGGGATCCTGCTGGGGAAGCCCCCAAACACATGCAGCTCTCAGGCGCCCTGGGCTGGGCGAGGAACGCGGCCCAGGCCCGGGGGTCCCCATCCCCAAAGGGCCCACTGCCCCAAGCACTGCGGCCAGCCCTGCAGACCCGGGTAGGGACCCCCGCGACCCCGCGACTCCTGTTTCAGAGGGGAGCAGCCAGCACCGCACAGGGCCACGTGCTCCTGCTCGCGGAGGGGGCCGCCAGGCCCAGAAGGATCAGCGCCGCG